ATTACTAAGATGTAGAAAATATATCATTAATATTTTTCTTTAAAACAAACAAATAGTTACAGTTTACAATAAAAAACACGTTTTTTTGTTGATTTCCAGAGGGCTTTGATGCGGACGAACAGAACTTCTTTTGGGGCATTGTAAATAGGTATCTCAAATGGCCATTGATTATGTCTCGTCACGAATGGGACGATAGAAATTTGACATGGCAAAATGTGAGCGATAGTTTGCATGAAAATGGGTTTGATAATGGCCTTTACGATATAGTAGTTCAAAGACAAACGGAGTCATCAAATAGTAACATTATCTTTGTATGTATATTGATACAAAATATATTATAAATTATATTTAATTATATTTACTGTAATACTTTATATACAACATAATAACACACATTTAATGTATCCATTTAAGTAGAGCAAAAATGTGTAATTAAACAATCAAAGCAATTACGCAATCGCAAATAACAACGCGTACATAAGTGTGTAAACACTGTAGATTAAATTTGATTAAATTTCTATAACACACAATTTTATTATTTTTAGATAAATGAGCCTACCAACTTTTCTTCGTGGATTACGAAAGGTACTGAAAAGGATGAATATGAATCCTTTATCGTCACAACTGCAAAAGCAATTATAGAAAACAACGGTGGTACCGTCGAGATCGATATTCTTACTCAAGATGTACGTGATATCGTAGACTTTGAGAAAGAATTGTTTACCGTAAGTATGTGTGTGAAACATAAGAGTATAGTAATAAAACAAGTATAGTAATAAAACAGACACAATTAAAAATTTTTAAGTTTTTCTTACTACTTTCAATGTACTTCGTATGTGATTGTTTATGTAATATTTGTTTTCTTACTACTAGTGATTTTTTCCTACTACGAGTGAAAATTTTATAGTTTCATTATCTTTAATAGCCGATTGTTTAAAAAAACTTTTCAATTGGTTTAATTAATCACAGGTGACAATAAACTTTAAAGACAACAATATTAGTTCTAATGCTTCTATTCTGTTAACAATTCAGCAATTTCAAGAAGAGTATGATAAACAGCATCCCGGAAACCGTGGGAAGGTTTGTGAATATATATATATATATAACTTACACGCTTTACTATATACGGGTGTTCGACAATCACATTAACCTTTCTCGTAGGCAGATAGAAGGAGTAAAACTGAGTCGAAAAGTCCTGAACCATTTTTTTTCTATTACATATAATAAAGGAGTAAATATTGAAATCAAGCCAATCAGCGCCGACCTTTCGTCAGGATCACGTCAGTGAGCCGTGCGGAGCGTACACGCACACCAGTGTGGTTCACTGACGTGCGTTCGGCTAAAAGTCGACGCTGATTGGCTTGATTTATTCAATAATTACTCCTTTATTATGTGTAATAGAAAAAAATGATTCAGGACTTTTTGACTCAGTTTTAGTCATTCTATCTGCCTACGAGGGATGTTAAAGTGATTCTCAAACACTCTGTATAAACTGTAAGAATGATTAGAATTTTATTTACAGATAGATTGGTATACAACCATTAAAAAAATATTTGCGCTAGAAGGAATCGCGATCGAACCGTCTG